TTTTCTGAGAGTAACCCGAGCAATATTCAGAAGTGCTCATGAATGGAAACGACTCCAATTGGCTCAGAGAATCTATAGCATCTTCCCGAAGACTTGAAATTTTCCTCCAGAGTGGTTCTTTTAATTTACTTCCGGATAATTGTCCAAGGTGATCGGGCAATTTTAAATTTTTAATACAGATTTCATTTCCATTTGAAAGTTTCGTGAACTCTTATACAAGTTCGAATTATCTTTGTTTCATCCATGTATTTTAATTTTTTTGTCACCAGTTGAAAATATTAAAATGTTTATGAACTTAAGAAATTTAAATTAGAGCGAGTTATTTTGTGACTTCGTTGTTCTTTATTAACCAATATCATTGGTCTGATTCCTCTCGTTCCTGCCTGCTCAGCTCACTTAGTTCCGGATGTGTTCATTTTGAGTTCCATCTTGCATTTCTTGGAATTTTCTACGTTTCAGACCGCCCGTGAAAATTGGAAAAAATAGTAAACATTACAATTTAAAGTCCGGATAGATAATCCATTTGGCAGCGCAACAAGAAGTCGCTGTGTCCGAACGACTGACATGGACCTTGACAAGTCTCGAATCACTATTTAATTGGAGGATGATTACTTTTGGCAAGGCGTTAAATGGAGTTTGAGAGCTCCGTTGGCACCTCAGAGTGCGGTTTTAAATCATTGTTCAAAAACGAGGAACATTTACTTGCAATTAGTTTTTTATCTGACCAATATCACCTTGTTACGAAGCTTCGTTGGGCACAACTTCTGGATCCATAAATTAAATCAATTGAAATCGCCAGATAATTCAGAATAGAAGTCGACTAACAATAGCCACGTGACAGGGTGAGAATTCAAGTACGTTTGAAGGTTTTCATTCAGAATTTAGTAAGCAAATTGGAACATTTTTTTAAATCAGCTCATTGACAAGAAAAAAAGTGTTTTTATGTAATTTAAAGTCCATGCAGTCAATTTGAACCTCTTCCACGAGAAAAGAACTATAGCTAAAGAAGGTCACATTTGTCGTCAATATTGAACTTACACACCCGGCAAATAACTGTAGCCTCGTTTAACACACTTGCCTTTTCCAAGACTAAAATTATCATTACATCGATCGTAATGATAAGACATTTAAAATGCTATCCTTTTTGGCGTGAACAAACCTAACATGGTAACAGAGCACGGGAAACGGCGCGCGTTGTTGACGGCGCAGAGATACAACGATTCGTGCTTGATGGATGTCCGTGCTGCATCTGCAAAATTGAAGGCGCGATGGCGCGATTCGTGAACTCACAGCTCCAGTCTATGCTGTCATTGTTGCCTATTACACGTCGCTAAAATTCGGCAGAAAAATTGAAAGAAGAGGCCTGACTTGACTGTATTTGGCTGAATTGACACTCGATGTTTTATTTATTTATTTTTTTTTCAATTTGAAGTTTGATTCTTTTCTTTTTGTAAACTTATATCTAAAGCTTGTATATGTACCGGTACCATAACTCTTCCAGCAGAGATAGTTGCGTCAATCTGACCAGGTTTGAGATTTCTAGGTGTTCATTCCTCGCTCTCGGTATTAAAGTCTAATTGAAAGGGTTTAATTTGCGCAAGATTTAGAGAACTTGTATTGAATTTTGTGAAAAACATTTATAACCACTGCTCGTACAGGATTTAGGAAATTTTAATTAAACTTTTAAGCAAAACCAACGCTCGTTACCGAAATTGCAGTGGTAACGAAATAGTCAAGCGCACGAGTCTGAGCAAAAACAAGCGCGGAATTGTTGCGTTTACTTTAGATAATGGGGAGCGGATTCGTATTTTGCCATGCTGTTATTATCATCGTTTCAGCAATGCGAATATTTCCACGCTGGAAGCTCAATCAGCGCTAATTATTTGAAAACACCCCAAGTATTATCACTTGCAGTTGCCAAATGTCCTCAAAATATTATTGAAGCCGTTTCCATGGGAAACCATGCAAACTTCATAGACTCAACGTGAAGTTCCATGTACGAGGTCCAGCTGCTGAAGATCGGGTCAGACATCTAAGTACTTCGGTATGTACCGGAGTACTTCAGATGTGTGACCCGAAACCTTCGGTATCTACGGAAGTACATCACGCGTTATACGGAAGAGGGTTGGAACCTGTGGTCCTGCGTTTCGGGAAAGGGAAATCAAAGGTCGCGTCACGTGACGCTTGACATTGTATTTTTTAAAACTTTTTATTGAATTTCTCTTTCCTATTCTTCCACGATTTTATTATGAAACATGCTTACTAATGAAAATGACCAACAACTTTTCTTTCCTCTTCTCCTATCCCGTTTAACTTTTTATTTTTTTACGAATAAAAGAACAGAGATTTATGATTTTTTCAAACGAAAACTGTCCAGGAGAGCGTTCCGCATTTTACAGGGAGAGTTCACAGTTTGTATGTGCGTTACCAGGGAGGGGCGAGAATCCGCATTTTTTTTTTTTTNTTTTTTTTTTTTTTTTTTTTTTTTTTTTTTTTTTTTTTTTTTTTACGTATTTTATGAAAGGCCTTTAAAATTGCTTCAAAATGCACGGAAAAATCGATTCCCGTCGCACCGAGCACAATCAAAAAGAGAGGCAATCGCAACAGCGGAGCCCAACGTGCAAAGCGAGCGACCAATCCTGCAGGGCGTTCATAACACCGTCCGTTGTAAACGACGGCTAAAGACCACCGCAGCGCACGANGGGGGGGGGGGGGGGGGGGGGGGGGTCGTAGTTTAGAGCCCCCGCCAATTACCGACCCGTGTTTACGCACGACGGTGCGCTTTTTAACGGGGGCCCGTAAATGTGACGTCACGGACCCCGTCGCATCGGTGACTCCGCCGTTGAGATTGCCCCGCGCTCGCGAGGCATTGTTTATTTGAGCCGCGTTTTCTAGCGCTTCCGCGGGGGGCGGAGACGGGGGGTTGTTGCTGTTGAGCCGCCCCGAGCGCACCTGTTGCGGGCCTGGCTCTGCCGTCTGCCCCGCCGCCCCCGCCGCCTAGCGGGCCCGTTCACTGACACGGTGGCCCGGGTGGCACCCGGGAGGCGGAAGGTCACTGGCGCGCCGCGCAACGAGGTGGCCTACTTCTAGGCGGGCCGCGGACCCGAGCCGTGGAACTATGTCCCCGAGCGAGAGCGCGGCGCCCGGATCCCTGCCAAGCCCGACTTTTTCGGAGCGGATATCCGATGGTTCGTTTTAGGAAAGCCGGGAATCCAGAAATTTGCAAAGTGTCGTTTATGGGGGGAAGAGTGGTTCATAGTGTCCGTCACAGCTCTATTTTTTTTTTTTTTCTGAAGAAGAAGAAGAAGAAGAATAAGAAGAAGAAGAAGAAGAAGCTAGGAGAAAACTCATCGATTTCCTGGTGGGACAACAATTTCGCATCCCTGTGTGGGCAGCGAGACGCTAAAGTTCACTGCGCAGTCTGAGGGTTGCGCCGGAGGGTGGTTTCCACCCCTCATTTAGGAATTTGCGGCTTTTTGGCTAGGAATGCGAACTGCTTATGTGACCTGTGATTTATGGCAAAAAAAAGAGGGATTTATAGTGTCCGAGGCAGTTCTATTTTTTTGTTTTTTTATAATTTATTTTTTTTTTTGGGGGGGGGAAGAAGAAGAGGGAGAAGAAGCGTGAGGAAAATTTGTCGATTTCCTGCTGGGATGAAGAGTTCGCATCCTGATGTCGGCAGCAAGAGGCTACAGTTCACTGCGAAGCGTAAAAGGCGCGCCGGAGAGGAGTTTCCACCCCGTATTTATCAGGTTGCGGTTTTTTAGCGAGTAATACGACAAAACTGACGACCTATGTTCTCAAAACCGAAATTTGATTGCTTTGTCAAAGAAGCGCCCTCCAACGCTTGGGCGTTGGAACTGCTTGTTTAGACTTCCACCCTTTAGAGCGCTCCGGGGGTCTCTAAAATTGGTTTAAATTTTTTTCCAAAGTGATTCGTGATTTGCTTTTATTGAAGTTTATATTCTAAGATAATGACACGTGAACTTGTCTCTGCTTTCAGATACAAGAGCCACGCTAGGGTGAGAGACTGGGGGTCCGAGAGGCTCGGACTATTGCATGGCTAGAATATCTTTCCTTGAATTTCAACTGTATACATACATATAAGTCGCTTTACCGCACTCCCTCGCGCTCTACGACTCCTAACCTCCACTGCTCTCTTTCAAACCACAAATCTTGGGGGATTGAGCACCTGTATTCAACTGATTCAACTTGATTTCAACTGTATACTCCAATAATTTGATTCAAAATTTTCTTCAAATTGTATGTCATTTGGATCAAGTTTAACCAGATCGCTGCAAGTTGGGTGAATTTTGGTTCAAGAAAAAGATGTTCGAATTTTTGCCTATCGATGTGACTCGATGTTTAGAACTTAGTCTAAGGACTATTTTCAGATTCAATTTATTTCTTCTCGGCTTTGAATTTTTGACGAGAGCAAATTTACAACTAGTTGAATTCGGAACACTCTCAACTCATTTTTTTTTTTTTTTTCTAAATTGCGATTTGGTGCGCGCCTCTGTTAAACTCCACAGCGGAGGAGAGAAAGTATAAAGTAAGATTAAGTATGGTTCACCGAGGGCGGAAATCGATTAAAAGTTTGACCTGAAGCTATTCGGCCTTACTGAGGAAAAACACATTATGAAAAATCAAATGTTGAGAACTTTTTGCTGATGAAAATCGAATTTTCTTTTCAAGAATTAATGCCTACTTCTCTGGGACTTTTGCCCAGTTTACGAACAAGTCAATTCACAGTATCGGATAATATTGAAGAAACATATGAAAAACTTATGTTTGAGATAATTATTTTGTGGGAAGAAATTTGGCAACATCCGTTTGCTCATATGGTGTTCTCCCTGAGCGCGGCTGCACGTATTCGAGTCACGCGCCGAAGTTGTTCGAAGCTCGGACCGTTTGATGTTCTGGTCGAAGAAATGGTGTTCTCTGCGTCTGCCTATTTTCAGTGATATATTAATGTTTTTGATTTATCTGTGTTGTTGCAGGGCGGGAGGTGAAGATGCTGTGGAGGTATCGGCTGGTCACTTGAGCCGCGTCCCAGGCTGACGCAGCCATGGTGCGCCACGGAGAATGTATGTCATTTTCCCGGCCGAAGACTTAGTGGAACTAACTTTAACTAGGCCTCCGGTATACCTCTCTCCGACCGCAGCTCAGCAGCGAGGTAAATATCCACAACGATCCCTTGTTTTTTACGCCGATTTCTGTAGATGGACGGAATTCCCAAGGAATGACCTAATGGAAAATTTGCTGGTGTCTGAAATGCGGAGAATTTTATGTTCAAGATGAAACTCTTAGGTAAACTGAGCACGAGAATAGCCTTGGTCTCTAAATTGAACGATTATTGGAGGAAATATGACAAAATAACCGAATATGCTTGGATACTTGTGTTTAAATGGTGCACTTTCAGATGAAAAACTTGTTCATGCAAATTCTCCGTTCTGTGTGTAAGGAGTGTCCGTTTTCAAAATGCCACGGAGAAAAAATCTTCGCACATAGGACCCAAAATTGAGGTCATATGGATCTCTGAAGTTTTCGGATCTCGCATCCGATAACATGAGATCTAGCTGCCGAAGTTCGGGTCAGACATTTAAAGTACTTAGGTACATACTGAAGGGTTCTGGTCACACATCTGAAGGTTCCGGTGCATACCAAAGTATTTCAGATGTCGAACCGAATTTTGGCAGTTGGAACTCAAGTTTTTGGATGCGTGATCCGAAAACTTCAGAGATCCATATGACCTCAACTTCGAGTCCCACGCACGAAGTTTTTTTCTCTGAGTGGACCACTAGACAAGGCGCGGGTTTCAAAATTATGTTTCCTCCTCCAAATTAGCGTTCGTGAAAAATCAAAGTGTATTTGAATCAAATCTCGCCTCTTCACGGTTTTGGCAGACTTCTCAATAAATGGTGTAATTTCTCCATCCTGAACCTTCTCTGTCCTTCTTCAATTGAATTGTACACGTTTAACTTTGCAACAGCTGAGTTGAAGCGCCAATATTGATAGGCGCTATCGATTTCTATCACATATACATATATAGCTTTTGTGATTTAAATTTTTCGCAAGTCATCTTCATTCGTTGCAAGATCTGTTTCAAAATGTATACTGTTGCATTCTTATGGAGGCTCGCGGGAATTGTCCTTTTCATAAGGCTGTGTGAAACAGTGGCGTAGATTGCTTTGCAATATATCGATTAATCTGACATTTAAACCTATGGAAATGGATCGATAATGGAGCGTTTGCAACGAACACCTTAATAATCGATCTTTTACCATAGTTTCAAACGGGGGAAACATATTATATTCGATCATTCACACCTCGCATCTGGTTACCTTAAATCTTCTGAATATCACAATATATACCAATTTTGGCCTCCGTAAGGAAAGTAGATTTTTCAGGCACGACTGAAAATACGGCCCGAAATCACATTTTTGAAAACAAATTAGATATAGGGGTAATTTAAGCGTAGTCAGCCGCACACTTACTCAGCTGCTTAAATTTTGATGTAAAAAAAAAAAAGTTTTGAATATAAATATTGACGTCGAATTACATTCCTATGATTAAATCTTATGAAGGAATAAAAATTGATACCTTTCATACTAAATTCGATCCTAGATTCAGATTCTTTTTGTGAGCACGGGCGTAGGTGAATTTCGCTCCCTCTATTCTCTTAGAACGTAACGCCTCGGGAAACAACTAACATTGAGTCCCATTCTTCCGGGCCTATTCCGCCCCCGAAAGAGAAAATTCGCCGTAAAAACCCTCGAGGGTTCAATTAATTCGCTATTTTTGAGCGGCTCCCAGGGTTGTTGCCCTCAGGGCTGGAGGGAGGGTGCGGGGAGTTTTCATTGCGTCCACCTTTTTCCCGGGCGAGAGCCTGGCGCAACTTCTTCTGCTGTGCTAAAGAAGAACGTCGTATGACATTAATGTTGCCAAATATCCTTCGAGAAAGTAATTTAAACGAAACAAGCGAATTGTGTTGCAAAATTTTGGAGAATTTCTCCGTCGTTTGACTTTCCACAAATTATACACCCCGATACATCGAAACGTTAGTAAGAAAATTTGTAACTCCCAGTGTGCAATGATGTTAATTTCCTTGCAATTAATTTTCTTCATTTTCCTCTTCCTCTTCTTTCTCCTTTTTTCTTAAACATAAAATCATAAAATAATAAAACAAGTTTTCCTTTCCAATTTCTATGAACTTTTCACATTACATACATAAAGTCGCTTTTATAGCGCCGCCTCGCGCTCTGCGACGCCCAATCGCCATTGCCCCCTATCCTCCCAGAGATCATCAGGCAATTGGCACCTTCTGATCTCCTCCTCCACCCCTTGTCGCCAACCTTTCACAGGACGTCCACGCCGTCGCCTTCCGGGAGGAACCCAATCGAAGACCTGCTTGGGCAACCGGTCACTTTTCACTTTCATTCATTAAAATCCACTGACACTTTTTGAGCTCATCTTTCACTTAGAAAAAAACGTCGGTTATACCACCAAAAAAAAAAGAGAGGATGCTGACTTAACATTCTGGATGCAAAAAAGTGTGTGACCACTCACAACACGCTGAATTAACCACCATAGCAGTTATTTTAGCAATATCAATATGTAAAGCTAACTGCTCTGGCAATTAATTCAGCGTTTTGTGAGATGTTGCACACTTTTTTACATCCAGAAGGTTAAGTCAGCATCCTTTTTTTTCCGCGAAGGACGGAATTTCGTTTCATATTGAACACTGACGTTTTTCCGACATTATTGTTCATCCGGACCAAATTTTGGTCAGCCAAGCTAAAGTTCGGTTTCTGTGACCAATAACTTCGGTTACCTGAAGCAAAGAATTTTGGTTCTCAAAATGAACGAAATTATTTTTCTCCGCGCGTGGTCCGTATAATCTGACCTATCCACAACTTTCAAGGAAATCGACAGTTCCGAGGAGAACAATGCAGACTGAATAACAAAAAGAAGATTGAGGAACTTCAGTTCACCAATAATAGGTAATAAGCACTTTAAAGGGAAATATAGTACAAGGGAAAAACGAAAATAGATTAAGAAATTGTAAATATTTTGGCTTCACCTCTTAGAATGTATAAACAGGTCTTCGGGTCATGACCTGTCCATCATGATTCCACTTTGTTCAAACTAAATAAACTACCTTTTTCGTTCAAAACAAAATAAAAAAACAAAAAAAAATAAGAAAAAAAAACTTTCAAGGAAAAAACATTGTGAGTTTCCCCAGAGGTACATACATACTCCGGAAATTTAGCAGCGTCCAAGTGTTCATACGAGGTTTTTCCTTAGAGCGGGTTTCTTGGTCGTCTCGTAAAACGAAGTGAATCAAGCAGCCACCCGTGAGCGAATGATTTAAGACTGGAAAACGCACCCCTCGCCCCTCGACCCCTCGACCTCTTTTCATCCCCATTTCCCGCGCTCGAGATCCTCCTCCTCGCAGGGAGCTTGGACTGATTTTTATTGCTCCCCTCCGGTGCCCAAGCGTCCAGAAATCAGCCGTTACAATTTGCGTGTTACGGGCGTCGGAGTTTATGTTTCGTGAAAACTCCGTTGGCGTCGGGAGGGCTCGTAAACATGTCGTCGATCTCATTCAAGATCGCGTCCTCGTCAAACGCCAACTCCTAATTGCGTTTAATCATCTGTAAAACGATCGGACATGCAAAACGACGAGTCGCAGCCGTTGTCAACGCCGGGACGGTTCAGCGGATACCACTATTTTAACTCCTTGGAGCTCGAGTTGCATACTCACTGAATTGAAGGCAAACTAGCCGGGAGATAAATCTGGCGGACTCTGCCGTTTTATAATCTTAATAAAACACGTTGTTCACATCAGTTTAATAAAAATCATATTTTAATTAGGAAAAATTATTAATTGAAATATCTAAAAATCATCCAATTTTGAATAAGACACTATGAGAAATTTAAAGAAAAATATTACACAATTGTAAGGGGGAGATTTCTATCAAATTTCCATAAAATTATTCTAGCAATAACCTTAGAAATTTGTGCATATCCAAGCAAACTGCTCGAAAAATTATACCACGTCAAAGTGAGCAGTAAATCATTTTTCGCACGAAACATATACTGGTATTTTCTTTGGTTTGATCAAACGTATCCAACGGACGTAATTACAGTTACGCCGTATACAAAAGTTTGCCTTACAAAATTCCTCCAGGTTTTGAGATCCCTGCAAACTTTCAGAGACCTCAAATCTTTTGAAATGCCCATTCGCAGCACTCATTTCGCTGTTCGCTGTTATTACGTGCGAATTTCCGATACTCGCCGAGGAGGGTTGATTATGATTCGGGTCTCAACAATAGCCGCGGCTATGGATACGGGCTGTTAGCCGGCCGCGGCACAGTGGATCAAGTCGATGGGAGAGGTCGGACAAAACTTTAAAAGCTAATAACTCAGTTTTCACAAAATTTTTAGGTCAAAACAATGGTCTCATTAGTTTTCTCGTAAACTGTTCTTTAAGAAACACCTCTCAAAATTTAAAATTTGACGAGATAAACATCTAAATTTGCAGTTTTAATGAAAAAATGTATGTCCGACCCCTCCCATTGATTCGGCCCATTGCGCGCGGGTTCATTCAAATGCGTGTCTGCATTTTTCCGCGGGTTTCAATCGATATAACCCGGAGAGCGTAGCCAGATTTTAACGGAAATCTCCGGTCTCCAGTAATTAAGCCCTTAGTTTACCCAACAATTACGGGCTTTATGTACAGCGATCACGCTAAATTACCCTTAATCTATTAGAAATCGTCTCAGACCTTAGTGACTGCGACAGTTATCGCCCGAGTTTGCTAGGCTCCTTATTCTTCGTGGCTATTATTTTTTCCTGGTCGTTTGTTGACCTGTCCTCATGCGATGAGGAAGTTACTGTGTTCACTTCATGAATCCTTCTTTTCTTTGAGTTTCATTTTAATTAAACCTTAGATGCTCAAGCTGGGTCGAATTGACCTCACGCTTGCTAAAAACAAGTGCCCCACGGGTTGTATGGGGCTGGTGCAGCTTTGGATATAGAGGTGTACAATACAGCTCAAAAAAAAATCAGACACCAAATTGAGAAAAAAAGGAAATAATTGAGTTTCAAAATATCCAAGGATAGGAAATACGTGATAGGGCCTCCGTAACGCTTTCCCGAATCTGAGCGACA